GTTCACACCACTGCTACTTTTCTCTGCAAAATTATAAAACCATTTTGACTTGTCGTGAACTGTTGCTCTGAACTGGGCTTTAGGAAACACGGCGTGGCGTAGGCGCTCATTGTAAACGTGGCTGAATGAAAACATGTTAGTGTGGATGTAGCCTGAGTCTCACTGTCTTTTGGGACTCACCTCCATCACGCAGAGCAGCTGGATCTTCTGCATCAGTTTTGCTTCATGTGCTGCAAGATCAGGCTGGAACCAAGAGAGGAAAATAAATCAGACAGGAGTCAAATATCAGTGATCATCATGTACAATCCTTTGACCAGGTTCCTGACATTCAAATCTGAAAGCTCAAGTTTTATTTGAGTAGAAAATGAACCCCATGGATGCTGTTTCAATGTCTGTGTACTATGTTAAATGTTGACATTTGTCCAGTTTGGCTCGATTACTAAATGTCTATTAGCACAACGCCAGCTCTGATCTTTCACTGTGCTGTTGAGCAATTAATTGCTTAAGTTGTCTTACCCGTCTTTAATTTGTCACCCGTCTGCACCTTCAGTCTGCATGTACTGATTTTTTTAAAAACAGCCTCTACACCGTGTGACCTCTGGGTTAAAAAAGTCCACAAAAAAACAAACTATCCTCAGTGTTTTCATTTAAAATACTAAACTGTTAAATATATGAATTACCAATCACGTCTAACAAACGGCTAAATGATGGACGCTGTAGGTGTGACGTCACTGGAGAGCATCTTTTGGATCCTGACATGCTGATCAGAGTCGACCCAGGCAGATGTTTAATGTCAATGTTCAGCTGTATATATAAATGTTACCCACCTGTTGGCCCCAGGCAGATTTGAAGCTCTGGAATTTCTCCACGTTGCCTCCGTTGAAGGCGTATAGTGTATCGATGAGCCACTGTTTGTCTGTGTTCCTCAGCGACTCCAGCACAGGATGCATCAGCTGCAAAGACACAACAGCAGAAGTCAATAAGCTTCAGGTGAAACAATGATCAGCACTGATTAACAACACCCAATGACCACTGTGTTAAATCCCACCAGCTCTCCAAAGTTGTAAACTCCTTCTCCCAACAGTCCGGCCAGTCCCAGCGTGAACGCCCTCTCCTGCTTCTCCGTCTCTGAGGAGGAAATAAAGACATCAGATCACTCAGCCACTGATGTGACAGACTCCATCAGACTAAGTCCAAGTGTCTGCTCACCTGGAAGGTCTTTAATATCCACACATCCCAGGTAGCGCAGAGCGTCCTTATAGTAGGAGGCGTGGTTCCCGATGATGCGATAATATTTGCTGGAGAGGTCATAAAACCGGCCGTGGACCGACGTCACCCCGGGCAAGTTATTCAACATCTCCTCAACTTCCTCAATGATTTTCTGGAAGTGTAAAGACAAAGTGGGAATAAATGTTCACTGTGGATCAGATTTCTTTGATATGTTTTGAGTTTTTACCACCAAGGTTCCATCATTCTTTATATATGTATATCAACATGCACTATCTGGTTAGACGCTAGACTGCTTTTTTGTTGTCATGACATTGAATATAACCGACTATAATCCTGTTTGCACTGAACACGTGGATGTGAACTGACTGACACTGGAAAAAAACATGTTAATTTGACGACTGCAAGCCGGGATTTTAAATTATGGGGATCATCTTCTTTTAATAGTTCTTCTTGACAGATTCATGGTTGTTTCTCCTTGAGGGACATTAAAATAAAAATTCACACATTTTTTATACAAAGTGCATCAGTCGGGTTCAAAGAGTTAACTGTTTGGCTGCCATCCCATTTCTGAGTTGCTGCTCTGCCAAGTCGCCATGTTTACCTTACATACAGTGCAGGAGTTAATAAAAACAGGGAGGAATATATCAGATGTTGTTTGACTGCTGCTGATATTTAAGACAGATTTGAGGACAGAGGAGAAAAAGCAGTGGCGGTTGCTCTCCACTGTGTACGTTTTGTTGCTTTTTTGAGAATGGCAGCAACCTCCAACCAGTTATTTCAGGAAGAAATTAGGAATTACACACCTATGTGTGAGTCGCATACACTCCTGTCGTCTTTAACAGCTGTTGGTGTTGCAGACACATCACGTGTGAGCATCACCAGCAGCTTGACGTTCATACCTCGTTACATGTGAAAGAGGTGTGAGCTGAGTTTTGCGTCAGCAGCTTAAATTAAAAAAAGGAGAGAGCTGAGAGTTTAGGAGCTTTTTACCTTTGTGGCAGGAAGATCACTGATCTCCAGTTTCAGACTGCCGATAGAAGTCTTGCAAAGAATGACGGCTTCGTCGCTGCTTTTCACCTGAAGCAGACGGAGACACATTTAAGTCTGATCACGTTCATCATTTAATGTATATTTTAAAAACTGTGATGTATCACTCAACGTACCTTTTCTTTGGTCTTCTCCAGAAAAGTGATGGCATCTTTAGGATCTGGAAACAAAAACATTTTTGTAAACACTAAAAAATATGAAGTTTATTCTGCAGAGAAATAATTCCTGCTGCATCTCGTTGTTCTCACCTTTCATCTGTCTGGCAACATACAGTATAATCTCCATGAGGGACAACGGGTTGATTCTGATAAGGGGGGCAAAAATAACAGATGAGCATCGAAACAAGCAGTAAACAGTAAAGTGCTACATGTTAGACTGAGTGTCTGAGGAACTGTGATCTCACCTGTGTTCAAAGTCACTGAGGAAATTGTCGTAGAGCTTTAAGAAGAGAAAAAGAAAAGGAGGAACGGTCAGGTCACAGAAAACATCAAAATGTTTAATGTTCATTTTGTTACAGTGGCCACTAATATTAACTTGGATTTTGATATTTTTATAGTCAATGTTCCACATTTATAGGAAACATTTGCAAAAGGTTCCTCATATTATCTAAACTTCTGTTGGCACATACAGTAGATATTACAGATGCAACTATGTGGATGCTCATAAAGACTGATGTGATTGTTGCATCCTCACTCATCCATTGTGGTACAAGTACAACATGTGACTGTGGTGTAGTTACCTGTATGAGGCCATCTCCTGTCTTGAAGCAAGGATCTTTAACAAAGTCTGTCAGCCTGAGAGTCAACTGGTGCCACAATCTGTCAAGACAAAAAAAACACAGTGTCTGTGATCATCACCAGTTCATCTGAATTCCACTGCACCACTCCAGCTGTCTGACAACAACTACACCATGAAGCACTTTTTACTTAAAATACATCAAACTAATGGACATTTTGTACAGAACAAACTTTCACACACAGCTCCTTTCATGTCATCGTTTTCTCTTTAACCTTCATGGTGATGTTCACTCACAAAACAGCAGTGGTGGAAAAGAAGTATTCAGATCCTTCACTTAAGTTTAAGTTAGAGATGCACACTATTGGATTTTTTTGCCGATATTCAATGTTACAACTTATGTGGCCAATAACCAATACTGATATATATCCACTTTTTTCTCCACCTGATTTTAGTGATCATCAAGTCTCTTCTGTAGTGGCATTAACATCATATTATGCATGCCTACTCTTACCATGACGGCCCACCAGCAGATGGAGACATGAAATACAATACTCTTCAGTATATATGATATTCATTTATTGTGTGAATAAGAAAAAGCATGTTGGTCGATTCTGAGCTCAATTTATAGCCGATACCGATGACATAATGATATTGTTGTGCATCCCCAGTAATAGCTCTAAAACCACACTGTGACAATAAGCCACTACAAATAGTCCTGCATTCAAAACCTTTAAGTGAAAGTATGTATCAGCTATAAATGTACTTAAAAGATGGAAACTAAAAGTGTGCATGTTGCAGTAAACTGTTCCCTGCTCTCAGTGTTTTTGTGCTCATTTTGACTCCTTTATATCCTACTGGGTAGTTTAATCTGCAGCAATGCAACACATTCTGTAAGTTCATCACGTTTGTAGGGTGGCTGTCCTGTGACAACCACGATCCTCTACAAAGTAAGCTTATCGTGGTGTCAGAAAAAGAGCGTTGTTTTCAGCTTTGTGATGGTGCATCTTCCAGCTGATTCAGAAGTGTTTTTAAAGAGTTTATGGAGCTTACGAAGCAGAAGGTTTTTATTAACACGTAAAGGAGCATCCTGATGTAAATCACAAATATTCAGCATCATCACATCTAGAGTGTTTTTACTGTACAAGAAGGGAGTTAAAAACTGTTTTCTGTAGAGTAACTAAAGCTATCAGACAAATGTAGTGCAGTTCAAACTTATAGTATTTACCTCTTTGATGAAGTGGAGAAGTATAACGTTATAAAATTGCATATAATGGAAAAACTACAGTAAATACAGGTACCTTAAATGTGTACTTGCTTAGTGTGCTATAATCCTCCACTGACAAACAGCACTAAAGTTAACTTATTATGTTCCTGTAGTGCAGTGACTGAAGACTCACTCTTAGCATCAGAGCTATCAAACACCCAAGAAAAACTTGTTATAAACTTTGTCTTGCACCTGTCTCAATCTCGGCTGTTGGGTTAAAAGCTCTAAATCATTAATTAACGTTCATGTTCCTGGTTTAATTGTTTTAAATATAAAGAATAAAAGCCAACTTTCCGCTCTGATCCTTAGCAAGAAACTTGCGGCTAACATTAGCCGAACCTCAGCTACCGCTACCTCCGTGCATGACTCAGCGTGCATTTCCAATGAATGAGCGAGCTAACGTTAGCTAGCCTAGTGTTAGCGGAGCACTTCCAACATTAGCTACCTGACTTTGGTTTTTATACCTTTTGTTGTACAAATCCTCCAACGTGTGCCACTCCGTCGCCATCTCCGGCGTGGAGCTGTTGCTCTGCTGCTGTTTGAGGTACCCGGTAACATCTTTCATTGTGGCGACAAAACTGTGAAGTTTAAATCTTTTATTCGGGGATGATGAGTGTTGTTGAATTTCCAGCTAACGTCAAGTAGTAGCCTGCTGGGAGTCTGTGCGCCTGCGCGGCGATGGGGCGCAAAGGATGATGGGAAATACAGTAGGCGGTGTTTGCAAAGCTCGCCAGTGTTGGCTAGGATTTGCTTTTTACGGCAAAGTTGATTTCATGACCGCGAAATACATTATGTTTATTGCTTTATAACATGGTTTGTCATCAATAAACGACGATTAAGTAGCACGATAGGCGACCAAGCTCGGTGGCTAATAACTGAGCTAAAGAACGGAGCTCAAGTTAGCTAGGCTATATCTCTTCAAAATCGCCTTTGTTTTTATAATGTAGTAGCCAGGCTATACTGTACATTACGGTACTCCTGTCTGCGTCACAAGGGGGTCAAAGGTCGACTACAAACATTTCAGCAGGCAGACAGTCATTAGCTACATGTTTGATCTGATTTTAGGTGTAGAAAATGTGCTAACAGCTCGTGTCCGCGTTCAGAATCATCTTCAGTCAGTTACAGTCATGTGTTAACAGTTTAGCTCACAGTAACAGCGGTGTCATGGCTTCTTTAGTGAGCTCCTCATTAATGTCACCTGTCCGACTTTGTTGTTTGTACCTGTGCTCGAGAGCAAGCAGGAGGACGCTCTCTGCTAACGGTCAGTACACAGACAGAGCTCAAACTATAGATGTAGTATGATTTCAGCTCCTGTGACTCATACATTTTTTCCCCCCAATAATAGGTTTGGGTCAAAGGAGTTTGTGTCCAGGTGAAGGTGCAGCAGCTCTGTGCAGGTATTTAAACCTCAGGGACACACACCTCTTTATCAGACAGCGGTGGCGGAATGTAACTAAGTACACTGGCTCTCAAGTACTGCACTTAACAACTCATATTAAGAAGCACATGTGCTTTTTACTCCTCCAGTCCAGTGGAAACAAACACAACAAAACATGCTTCTCCTGCTACTGTTCTTCTTAAGACAAACAAACTATTTAAAAACCCTTCTGGAATAGCTGCAAAATGCATTGGCACAAATGTTATGTTATTATTATTAAATATTATTATTATCATGTATTTTTTCACAACTAAACAGATAAAGTAAAATCAAGTAACCATAAATTTCATCACCAATTTGTCATTTACTTTCGTTCATAATTTGAATAATCGATTTACCATATGGTCTATAGAATGTCATCTTGTCTTTTTTGTCTTATCAACAGTCCAGAATCCAAATATATTCAATTTATTATAATACATAACAAGGAAAGGCATCAAATTGTCATATATGAAACTGGAACCGTCAAGTATTTGTCATTTTTGCTGAAAAGTTGACTTAAAAATTGTGAAAAGTTTCCTTCAGTTTCTTTGAGCCCAGAGTGACTTCTTCAGATGTTCTGTTTTGTGTTAACAACAGTCCAGAATCCAAAGATATTCAGTTTGAATTTGTGCATGACTAAGGAAACCACAAAACATTCACATTTGAGAACCCAGAACTGGATACATTTGGTATTTTTCTTCAAGAAAATCAGCATTGTTGTTCATTTATTTTCTATGAATGGAGTAATAGTTAAATTGAGTGATTTTTGCAGCTGTACTTGTCCAAAAAAGTGCAGTTAAACATTTGTAATCAAGTAAAACATAAAACCTGATATCCTTTTAGTGGAGTACAGAAACAATAAGATACAGGATGTTTATGTGATCCTGCTGCAAGCTAATAAAAAAAGTTTGATCTAAGTTGAAGAATATAAGTGCAGTAGAGGGAATAGTGGGTTCAGGTGATGAGAGTCTCTGTGTGGTTCAGAGTTGCTCTAAGCCAACTGTGATCCTTCACAGACAGACAAACTCTCCGTGGTGGAATGGGAGTCGAGGGTTTTTCTCCCGTGGTGGCGGTGCAGGCGAGGAGCAGCAGACCCTGGAGGACATCGCCAAGAACATCAGAGAGCGGCAGTTCAAGAGGGTGGTGGTGATGGCCGGAGCTGGGATCAGCACGCCGAGTGGCATCCCAGATTTCAGGTAAAAGGTTCGACATTTGTTTTTTTATTTCTTTAAATCTGTGTTTCCTCCCTCAAAGAGTGTCAGATGCTCTCCTTTGGACTTAATATGTCAGTAGCTGTAAACTGCATTGATACAGTGCATTTGAACTAATATTTTTGTTTAATTCTTTATGTAATTCTTGCATTTATATTTGACACAGTAATGGTGTGGTTATATATTGTAGTATATATATTGATGTGCAAAAAGCCACACAGCAACTCTTCCAGACATTAAAAGATGTGATATTTTGTGGGTGTTCCCTTAAATACTGACTGTGTCTATGTTGATTCAATGATCAACGACCCTCTGTCATTGATGCAAAGTGAAAATGTCGGCCATTTTTAAGATATGCCTTTTTTTTAAATGCTCATGGCACGTCTGTGTCACCACTTCCATCCAAGCGTACCACTTTCCTAAGCATTCAAACATTGCTAGCAGCCTAGCGCTGACAGTGGCAAGCAGCTAAGAAAAAGGCAACAAGGATATTTACTGGTATCTTCTCATATCGATCACAGGCTCCTGAAATGAATCAACTTAAAATCTTATCAATCATATCAGACTTTGTGATGTCAGCAAATATATTGTTGTCTAAAAATGATGACATTTGTGATTAATGCCCCCAATATTTCTCATATTTCTTATTTCTTACTTTTCTTAATTTTCTCTCTGTATTGTGGTATATATTTCAACATAATGCAAATGTTTTTACAGACTTCTTACTTCTCTATTTTCTTTTTGTCTTGTAATTCCTATGTCTGCATATGTAAAAGCAGCAGTAACATGACACAGTGTCCCTCTGCGGATCAATAAAGTATTTCTGATTCAGATAATTATCAGATGTATTGAGCAGATTGTTCTCTCGCAGGTCTCCAGGCAGCGGTCTCTATGACAACCTGCAGCAGTATGACCTGCCGTACGCCGAGGCCATATTCGAGCTCAACTTTTTTCACCACAACCCAAATCCCTTCTTCGCCCTGGCCAAAGAGCTGTACCCAGGGAACTATCAGCCCAACCTGACACATTACTTTGTGCGACTGCTTCATAAGAAGGGTCAGCTCCTCAGGATGTACACGCAGAACATCGACGGCCTGGAGAGATGTATGTATTTATATTGTGTGCTTATGGAAGTTACTACACATCATTGAGACACATGTTCAGGCAATTCTAAGCCACCATGCTTGTTTACTTGTGTTTATAAAGTGGCAGGGATTCCTCCTGACATGTTGGTGGAGGCTCACGGTACTTTCGCCACCGCCACCTGCACCGCGTGCCTGAGGAAATACGAGGCAGAGGACCTACGAGTGAGTTAAAGCCCAAACACCAGCTCCACATGTGCAGCCAGCCCCCACGTTTATCAGAATGTTTAAAATACTGTTATTCATGATGTTGTTTGTGCCAAGGTGAACATTAGGCACATTCCTCAAAGTGAAAACTTGGCATAGATTATGAGACTTTATGTTAGTTGATTTTGTGCACCTGTATTAGGAGGAGTCTTGTAGACACAGTTGAGCACTTATTGGTTTCTTCACAGTCCCATTAAACAGGTCTCATATCACATAAGTTTGTTATTTTACAAACATATAAGGTTTACAGCTCACAAAATCTGAGTACTATTCCTGTTGTCCTTCATTTTACACAGGTGTACTGTTCTGAATTTGTGATTCGAAGCCAGAAAAAATCACTTAAATTCAGATATCACTTTAGACCACTGGTTCTCAGCCTGGGGGCCTCGACCCTAATAGGTATTGTCAAAGCTGTACATGGGGTCGCAATGACTGTTGATTTTATGAGGACTCAAGAAAACTTTTTAAAAATATATACAGCAGGCCAAAAATTCAGCCTTTTATTCACTCAGAATGTCAGGAACACTCATCTCTGATTTAATATTCAGAGATCATATTCGCTCAGAATTCATCCAAATCTTTCATTTTACACTCACAGTTATTGCCTTCACTATCTGGGTTAATTATACAGTTCATCAGTTTTTCTGTTCTGTTGTTGTTCTGCATTGAATATAATATGAGATATCCATAAAATGTCACCTAGTCGGGGGTTGTCACTTTCCTAAGGTTGGGAACCACTGCTGTAGACTGTAATTTTCTATCTTGTCTCTATGTGTCATCAGCCAGATATATTGAGAGGGACGGTCCCAAAGTGTCCCACCTGTAAAGGCGTTATAAAGCCCGACATTGTGTTTTTCGGGGAGGAGCTTCCACATCACTTCTTCAAGTACCTCACAGACTTCCCGCTGGCTGACCTGCTGATCATAATGGGAACTTCACTGGAGGTGAGCGTCACTGCCTTCAGACCACATACTGTACCTGTAATCTGTGTTTTTTTCCAGCTGAGACGATGTGTTACAGTGAGCGATAACACGAGGAGGGACGGTTTAAAGATGGAGAACAAACATGAAAACTGACTCTCTGTGGAAAATCTCTTTGTATAGATTATATTTTTGCCTTTATCAGTTTACAGCGACGATGCTGACAGGAAACATGAGGAGCGAGGGGGATATGACATGTTTTGATCACCAGGAAGCCCCTGAAAATAAGGATTAAAAAAAAAAAAAAATCAATAAATTTAGGTTAAAAAAATTATTTTGCAAAAGACGTAAAAAAAAAACAAAAAAAAACAGAATAAGTCTGCTGTCGTTCTTGTCACTTAAAAAGTTTCAGGTTTTATTTTTGAAGAGAGACAGGATGTGACATCAGATGTTCATCAGAAGTAAGCTCTGCAGTTTGTAGGAAAAAAAGCATATTCGTCAATTATACTCATTTTTTTCTGCAGAAAAATATTTGGGATTTTGAAAATACTGTATTGCATTTATCGTCAAGTAGTTGTGAGCTGATAAAAATACACGTTTTATCAGCTGGATCAGGATCCGTCACCTCAAACTCAGAGTTCCTGGTCGTAGTAATTCTTAATAGTTTATTGGTAAAATATACGGAGTCCCAACTAAAACCACTGTAGCTGTTAATCTTGGTGTGGGCCTGGACCTTTGTACGTGTTACCTTCTCTTTCTCCATCTATTTCCTGTCTGCCTCTCCACTATAAACTGTTAAAATCGCAAAATACCCCCAAAAAGTCTTAAAAAAAGATTTAAAGTTTATTTGTACACCTGAACAATTCAAGTCTTTAAAAGCTGCAGTTTGCCTCTTTGCCCTGCAGGTGGAGCCCTTTGCCAGTCTGGCAGGAGCCGTGCGCGGCTCTGTACCCCGTCTCCTCATCAACAGGGATCTGGTGGGCCCGTTTGCCTGGTGCCGCCGGCCTCAGGACGTCGTTCAGCTGGGTGATGTGGTCGGCGGTGTGCAGGCCCTCGTGGATGCGCTAGGCTGGACTCAGGAGCTGGACGTTCTGATGGCGGCTGCAGCTGAGAAAGTGAGTGTGTGTCTTGGTTACATGCACACATTTACATTATAAATCTTCAGCATCAGAGTTCCCATGAGGCTTTTGGGTGTAACTTTTCTCCGGCTCTGTTCTATGATCAGTGCAAGTATTTAATCAGACAGCCAGGAAAGTTAAGTTGAGGCTGTAAAAACAAAACAGTGAGCTGAAAGACAAATCAGAGTTGAGGGGACTGTGGAATCAGGACTAATCACTTAAGAAAACATACTGTAAATACATTGTTAGCACCAATTAGTGCAGCCTGAAAGACCAGAAGCTTGGCTGTTAATTGAATACTGTCATAAGTGTGCAGGAAATGTCTCATTATTACGGAAGCGTATTGCATTTACTTGACAAATTTTAAAAAAATCTGTTTTTCGTGGTAATTTTTTTTTCTGTTTTTCGGTGTAATTCTTTTTATTTTCTGTTTTTCGGTGTAATTCTTTTTATTTTTTGTTTTTCAGGGTAATTTTTTTCTGTTTTTCTGAGTATTTTTTTCTGAGTTAAGAGAGCAATAGAACAACAGACGCTTTCAATCCTTTCTTGAGAGCTCGATATAATGGAAGCAAACATGACCCGCTTGTTTAGTTAAATCCAGTTTTACTTTGTTTTGGGTTTGAGACACTGGGAGATACTCTTGTCTTTAAGTCATATAGATGGTGTTATCATTAGTTTGTCGACTTTACGCAGGCACCAGTCACTTGCAGGTGCCAGGTGGGAGCTTCTCGCGAGATTTTGAAGTATCTCGTCACCTCGTTCAGGAAAAAAAAATACCATGAAAAACAGAACAGCCATGGATGCACACTGGGTGGCGCTGTTCTGATATTTTGAACTTTAGGGTCTAAAGGCAGGAACAACATTGTTGTCATCGGGTGTTTCAGCCCAGAAGAGCAAAAGGCTTTTGACCACTGTGGCGAGGTATAATGTACAACGTGCTGTGTGTTCAGTTTGGATAAAGGAAAAAAGAAATAGACATTTATTCAACATGTATTTGGTGGTGTGAATAAATCCGAATAAATAAATACCTGCAGTTTATTGTTTGAGCACGACACAATGAAGGAAGCTGTGACATCAACCGTGCAAAGCACTTTAGCCTGGTCAAGCCTGGAGAAACATCCATGTAGCTGCAAGTAAAAGGCTTCGCTCCTACATAAGATGTTGCTGACCATGTAGTATCTTAGCTTTGTGTTGTGTGTGTAGTGATCCTCTCAAAAGTAAACACACACACACAGAGTGACTACACACAAAGCACAACAGGTTTTTGGTGATAAATTCCTGCAGTGATTTCTTGTAAAGTTATTCCTACAAACAGAAGCAGGAGCTGCACCGATAAGTTCACTTATGTTATTGTTTCCACTTTTATCTGCAGGCTGCAACAAAGACAGAAGAGTGAGCAGGTCGCCGCATCAAGCTGGAGGTTTGACTTCATTCACTGCACTCACAATACAGAAAACACTGCAAGACTAAATCCAGACTGTTTTCACTGGGTTCACGTGGTGACACTTGGATCTTTGGTTGCATTAAAGGAAACTCACAGATAAGAACTGCTGCAATGGAAACACTGAAATGTTTCTCAGTCAAATATCAGTAAACACAGGTAAGTGACGCGCAGGGACACGTGGCAGAGAAATCAGGTGCAAATGTTTATGTACAACAGAATATAATGTGCAGCTGATTGACCGTGTTGACTCAATAAGAAAGATGTGCAATATTATATTTTATTTATAAGCTTCTAATTTTAATGAAATGTGTCTAAAGGACAACCTCTATGAAGGCCTTTGTTTGTATGAGGACATTTAATCCCTCTGAAATCACTGACATCACTGGTTTAGTGGAATTAAAGGTCAAAACTTTACAAAATATGTGTTATATTTTTATCAAAGGAAATGCAGGGACATAAGAGAGTTACTTAAGCTTTTAAAGATTTTCAGGACAGACTCTCATGCGTAAACGCCAGAGGACTGGGTTGGGAAATCTTTCTGTAATATATACTATGTCAGTAGTGTCAGTAGTTTCCAAAAACATCTGCTCACTGTAGTTTTTATTAAGCAAACTGGAGGTAATAGTGATTTTGTTGGGGACTATTTTCAGTGGCGGATTAATCCACATTTGGTGCTGTAGTGAGTGTTTGTGTCAGGAGGACGGTGTGTGTGTGACTGTGTCAAAATAAACTACAGTGTGTGTGTTCATGGTGATGAAGGAACAGCAGTGTGGCTCACTGATGTGTTTTAACAACAGTGGAGGAAGAGGAGACGTCCGGCTGCAGACAGACACACAGTCACCTGTCAGCAGATAGAAGTGAAACATATCATATCTAAAGGATCAAATTAGTTTAAGGTGTTTTCTCTCGTTTGGTGGGTGTGTCAGAGGTATTACCCAATCAGCAGCGATGTGATACCCAAATCATCTCAAACTGGTTTCTTGAACTTGATCTCAGTCCAATAGAGCACCTTTGGGATGTGCTGGAACGGGAGATTCTCATCATGGATGTGCAGCCGACAAATCTGCAGCAACTGTGTGATGTCATCATGTCAATATGGACCAACATCTCTGAGGAATGTTTCCAGCACCTTGTTGAATCTGTGACACCAAGAATTAAAAAGGGGGTCCAACCTGGTACTAGCAAGGTGTACCTAATAAAGTGGCTGGTGAGTGTATGTTCATTATGCCAAGAAAGCCCCTTTGAACTGACCTGAATTAAAACCAGCCGTATTAAAAGGCAGTGCGCCTGCATAACATGACAGAGTGTGACCATGTTTTGAAAAGAGGATGGAGCTGTGGAGGAGCGAGGAGTGGGTCTGACTCGTATACCTCTTCTCCACCAAAACTAGCATGTGTGTGCAGTTTTTATAAACACAGGAAAACCTGCTAAAGACAGACAAGAAACTGCTTTCACAGACCAGAGCTGTGCACATGACTCTGAGCACACCAGTGTGCTTTGCTTTGTGTGTGTTTTCTGTAGTGGTGAGTCACTTTCCACATCACAAACAGGCCAGAGAAAAGGTTAGTAAACAGGAGGAATCAGCATGGAGACCTGTGAAAATGTGGCTACGTCTTTTTTATATGTTATTTATTCACTCCATCACTGCCAATGGAAGACACTTGAGCTGGTCGTTTTAGAGCCATGACCAAGGATATCGCCACGTGTCCTTCACAGTGGTCACCTTTTGTCTCCTGGTGCAGCTCAGTTCACGATACTGTGCCGTGTTAGCGCTTGATCCAGTTTTCTGATCATTCTCTGTGACTCTGAGACATCAGTTGTGTCATAGTTTGTTACTAAAACAAAACACTATGATGTTAAATGTTTTTGTCATTCAGATCCAGAAGAAATAACATTGCTGGATGCACAGATGCAGAAACCATAGAGGGATATTATTATTATTACCCAGGTTTCTCATGTTTCATGTAAATGTCATCTCTTATATGATCAAACCAGGATAATAAGGTGCAGTGTGGCCTACTCCATCAGTCCATCTTTCACGAGATGTCTCACACCAATCGACTGAGTGTGAGCTGAATACAGGTCTGTCACTGTGAGCTCAACATGCCTCGTGCTGTTTGGAGTTTTGTAGTCATGCATCAGATTTGATCAAATTCATCTCCTGCTTCAGTTTTTTCAAACTGACTCTCACACCTTGTTCCAATTGTCACCTCCGTCCTCCTCCTGCTGCTGCTGCTGCTGCTGCTGCTGCTGCTCATGTCTCTGTGACAAGAGGAGTCTGTTTTATCACCGTATGATATCATCTACTGTAAGGAAAGTTTTCCCTTTAATGCTCGTCTCTGTGTGCCTCCCATTTGTGCCCAAAGATTATATTCAGTATGATAAGGAAAATGCCGCAGCATTTGTTCTGATTGGTCCAAAGTCCGGAGATCTGGTATGTATACACTTTAGGCAAGAATCTGACAGGACAACTCTGAAATGTTTAGAGCAGATAGAGATGCAAATTATTCGAAAGAGACACAAAACAACAAAGAGATGCAGAGTGTCCTCAAAGAGATGTAAAATATCTAAAAGTGACACAAAACAACTACAGAGATGTAAGATGACTACATAAAGATGTAAAAGAAGCAGGAAGAGACACAAGCTGACTACTACAACATGCAAATTGACCAGAGAGAGACACAAAACTACAAAGAGATGCAAAATGACTACTTAGACATGCAAAATGACTACAGAGAGATGCAAACCAACTACAGATCGATGCAAAGTGAATACAGAGAGATGCAAAACAACCAGAAAGACACAAAACAACGACAAAGAGATGCAAACCAACTACTAAGGCATGCAAAACTACTATAGAGAGATGCAAAGTGACTATGAAGAGATGCAAAGTGACTACAGAGAGATGCAAACCAACTACTAAGGCATGCAAAACTACTATAGAGAGATGCAAAGTGACTACAGAGAGATGCAAACCAACTACTAAGGCATGCAAAACTACTATAGAGAGATGCAAAGTGACTACAGAGAGATGCAAAACAACCAGAAAGAGACACAAAACAACTGCAGAGCGATGCAGACCAACTACTAAGGCATGCCAAATGACTATAGAGAGATGCAAACTAACAACAGAGAGATGCAAAGTGACTACAGAGAGATGCAAAACAACCAGAAAGAGAGACAAAACAACTACAAAGAGATGCAAAACAACTACTATGGCATGCAAAACCACTACAGAGAGATGCAAAGTGACTATGAAGAGATACAAAGTGACTACAGAGAGATGCAAAGTAACTACAGAGAGATGCAAAGTGACTATGAAGAGATGCAAAACAACCAGAAAGAGACACAAAACAACTACAGAGAGATGCAAACCAACTACTAAGACATGTAAAACGACTACAAAGAGATTTAAAATGACTACAGAGAGATGCAAAGTGACTACAGAGAGATGCACAGTTGTTGTTTGCAGTGACAGGTCTTTTTGCCCAACATGAGGTGTTTCAGCAGGTGAAGTTATCTGACATTAAAAGACGAGACCGTTCGACCACGTCTACCTCAAACTGAGCCGATGACATCACAGCCGACTGGAACATTTAGAAAGATGACACACTTTATTAGAAAGGTTTCCACATAAAACGTGGATATGGCATACAGTAGGCACAGTCAGTAACCAAACACACACACACACACACACTGTGGTGACAGGCAGTCAAGGCTTAAAGGACAATGCCACTCAAATTTAAGCCTCCCTGCAGTCAGAAACACTTCGAGTGTCAGAACACAGAAACAACTTTTTCACAGAACTCGACCAGAGGATATAAAGACTCTAATGTGCGACGTTATAAAGACACCATCCGGAAATGCTTCACTTACATTTTCTTATTATAGCAACTCAAAAGTTTCAGTCAACAACATACAAACATTTTAGAAAACAAGTTTTATCTGATATTCATTACTCAGTTAAAAATAAAAGATATTCTTTACAGTGCTGCTGCTTTTATTGTGAGACGATACTCTAATATTATTGATCTGTCTGAGAAGGAAATACTCGTATGGAGTTTTTCATTTAGCAAAAATAATAGTTTGGGATTCAAATTAATTTAAAGCCGGAAGTTAGTTTAACACACAACAATGTTTTACTGCCACCCTGACAAAAAATATTTGATCACTTTCTTGTTATAACGAGTAAAGTTTATAATTTTAATAAGATCCTTGTCACAGCATATTTTTTAATGTCATAAGGACATATATTTCTCGTTATTACTGGACACCAAATTAAGGAGGAGGCATATTTTTAGTTCAAATTCAGTTACTGAAATTATAGTTGAATTATATATTTATTGAATTATTCTGTTTTTATAATACGTCGCTTGTTTTTAGTCATAAAACTTTGCTGCTAACACAAAATCAATGTGTTTGCTTAAAAGACGGAAAAAGTTTTTTGTTATAACAACAGCCCGACTCATCTTCAGTTAAACAAGATTATTATTCCATCTCAACACTGTGTGCACAATGAATGAATATCACATACAGTGAACAGTGTTGTATTTCATGTCTCCATCTGCTGGTGGGCCGTCATGAGAGGCAGAGGAGACTTGATGATCACTAAAATTAGGTGGGGAAAGAAGGGGATATATTGGTATTTGTATCAGTTATAGGCCAAATAAGATTTTATATATTGGCAAAAAATCCAATATTGTGCATCCCTAGTTGAAATATAAGTTTGTACATCACAACCAAATTACCAGAAAATATATTGCCAGTGTACGTTTCTGCAAATCATGGATGTGCTACATTTGCACATAATTATGTTGCGGATTTATTGAAACTTTAGATTTAAACAGTGCTGTGGTTATAATACTTAATGTTTAAGTACAAAGACCTCTTGGTTAAGGTTAGGGAAAATAAAATACCCAGTTTAGGGGTACAATCCTTGCTGGAAACTCCACAATGGGTCGCTAGAAACACCCACGTTTGGAGGCTGAAAAGACTCCCTAAAAACAGCTAGCTTTGTCTTTTGTTGGTCTGTAGCAGTGGTCTGCAGTGTGGCAGGTATCTTGCCTAGGTGTCACACCATCCGCTATCTCCTCCGCCCAGTGGCGTATAGTTAGGACGGGCCCCAGTGCACGCTATTGTGCACATATGGTCTTGTCACATGATCAGAGACTTGACACTGGATAACATCAACTTACATATTACCCAGCAATCATGATTGCATATCGGTGTGTAACAAAAAATACCAAAGAAAAGAAGAAATTAAGAAATAGTTAATTTTGCAAATTAATAGTTTTAGAATAGTTGATTTATAGAATAATAAGCATATGATTTTGTTACAGATGCTATGGACTGTTTTACAAATAAAGAAAAATTAAACATGACAGAGATGGGTTTACCTGTCTCACGGGCATATATAGAAAATGGCAACGTTCTTAATTTAATGAGAGTTCTTCTTTAGAGGTAACAGTCATTCATAAGGGCCCATTCTCCACCTAACACAGGGCCCCAGTGCAACAGCAGCGCCTGCACTGTCTATATTTACGCCCCTGCCTCCAACCTCCTGATGACAAAGTCAGCTCATATACTACGTCACTTTGATATGATACATATGAGATGTCCAATGTATCTGTAGTTTGCAGAAACGTTCAATGGCAACATTTTCATTGTGCGACTGGGCTGCAGATCATAACAAAAAGACTTCAGTGTGTGTCGCACAACTTCAGCAGTGGAGCATCCAAAGAACATTTTAACATTTGGAAAATTACTAACATACAAAATTATTGTGGTTGTACGAAAACGTTGATGTTTAGCAGCAAGAAAAATTGTTTAATATGAAAAGCATGTAAAAATAATGAAGTTATTTTGGTCATGGTGACAGTAATAAACTGCAGGAGTAAAATAATTAGTGGGATGATAAACTTTCTTTTCTCTGGAGTAGCAGAGGAGATTTTAAATTGTCAGGTAAAAGACGTTCACCCTCTCCTCCTCCCTGTGCTATTTATTATATTTCATCCATTATAAGTTTCACGTGTCGCCCTCTCAGCACTAGAATGAATCATATTACTCAGATACAAAGCAGAGAAAGCAACTCATCAGGTCTCCTCAGCCTCGGTGTCGCAGGGTGTTGATGAGTGTTCACTCAAGGTTTTGACATTATGTGTGAATTAAAGTGAGAGAGCTTTTAAATATGAAACAGGAAGGGAAATATATTCTTGACAACTTAAAAATGACTTCGCAGGGATCTCGTTAACTCCTGTTGAGAGATCGAATGCTAAAACTTCTATCAAGTACATCCTGTGAATTTTAAGGCATATTGCTACTTAATATTGTATGAGTGTCTTGATGAGTACACATGTTAACCTCTCCTCAAACAGCCGCGGTGAGCAGGTTCCAACTGTGGTGTGTTCCACATCATAAACCGTTTTACTGATTCAACACAGAAGAAGTCAGTGATCCGTGACGGAGGAGTCAGTGAGTCAGCCGACTGGATGTAGCTGAGCTTCTCAGTTCTGCTCCTCTGAAGAGAAAACACTTTCATCCACTTATACTTTGTGATATCACACTTCAGATTGCTGCGACCTGCTGCCACAGAAACACATGAAATGACCACGACCTCTGAACAAAACATCACGTGATGGTGCCAGCATCACAGAAACGGCGCCGATCATAAGTGAAGTAGGATCCTTCGTCATGGTGAACACATGAATTCCCTGGTTCGACGTCTTCACACAGTGGGCAGCGGTTAATGTCACAACCCCATAGGTGGTATGAAGAGCGACATATACCGCGTAGGGTGGAGGTCAGGGTGGAGGATGGGTCAACAAACGCAGGACTTTAAGCCTGGAGACCACTGTTCATGTCACGTGTGAAACTAAAAGTCAACATTGACTTCTTTTAACTTTACATTCTTACGTCATTTACGTGGTTACATTGCTTTGCGTGACGTACTTAAGTCCAGGGTTGGGTGCTGTTCACATTTGAACTTATATTGGTGCTGGTTCCAGTAGCTGGAATTCATTACGGTATAAAATGGTATCTTTTTCCTTCCTTTACGTTCTCTGTAATAACAAAAATGTTTTTTGTGAACAAGCTGCAGGGGTGACGTGCTCAACTAAAAAACAATGGAGTGCACTCCCAGTTCCCTCGTCTTGAAGTCATTGGGTTTACTTGGATGAGTTTTTGGTTTGATGTCTGAAATAAGGTCTGTGGTTCACACAAGCTAAAGAGACTTCCACGTGTTGTTCTACAACATAAAATATGTCAGTAAATACCCCACTGTGAATTCTGAAGCTTTTAAGTGCCTTACAAAAGGCGGCTGCTAACAAGTGGCTAAGTAGTACGTGCTATATCGTAGCATTTGCGTTTCTTGAAGACGTTTCGCCTCTCATCCAAGAAGCTTCTTCAGTTCTAAATGACTGGTACGAAGTTGCAGGCTATAAACCCTGTGTGGGTGGGAACCCTTGCAGAGTCATAGGGGTCACGTGAGCTCTTAGTTTCAGAGTCGTTAAGGTCACGATGTGAGTCGTTGACCCACCCTCCCACCTGACACTTCGTACCAGTCATTTAGAACTGAAGAAGCTTCTTGGATGAGAGGTGAAACGTCTTCAAGAAACGCAAGCAAGTCCAGTTGCCTGTGGTATAGCACTTACGATTACCATGACCTGGATGACTGAGAATCTTCACAGACAAGTGGCTAAATAAAACTACAGAATGTCATCAGACTGAACACGGCTTTACAGCCTCGTTGTCGCGGCGATGCTAAAATCATGCGACTCTAGTGTCGTTCATTTATAACCTAACGTTAGCTTTTTACTTCTTGTGACTGCATTTTGGCTTCAACAGTCATGAACGTGGTGTTCATTTGTGAAGATTATTTTGCTAAACAAAACGTGTAAGGATCATAAATGTTTGCCACAGAGCTTATTTTCTGCAGTAATCTAAAATCCAATGGAAAAATCCCAAAGGCTTTTTGATGAGGGACCAGTGTGTAATGCTGTGTCAAGAGGTCGTGGTGATTTCACATGCTTCTGTGAGATCAGATTCCTTGTAGATATTTTGTTGATGAAGCTTTTTGTTTTTGCTTTTCTTCGACTGGCCACTTGGTCTCCTATGCATTGATCATTTTTAGGCATTTCCCAGAAGCACTTTCAAAGGGGCCGTGAGGACTGATGTGAGCTCTGTGTTGCATCAAAGGAACAGCTCAACATTTGGGTTGGGCTGCAACTAACAATTATTTCCATTATTGTAATTTCCCGGATCAAGCAATCAATCACTTTGTCGTTAAATGTCAGGAAACAATGAAACAATTTCTGCTGTGTAATTTCCTCGAGCACATGGTGACGTCTTCAGATGCTGTTTTATCCAACAGGAAGATCCAGAGCTGTTCAGTTTGTTATTATGTGTGACAAAGACAAGCATCCCAAAGATGATAAAAATAGTTGCCAATTACCCATAATTTTCTGTTGATCGTCAAACTGATTAATCGTTTAATCACTGCAGCTCTACCTTTGGGGAAATATTCTATTTGCTTTCTTGCTCAGAGTTGGATGAAAAGTGTGGAGCCACTTATTTTAGCTGAGCATAAAAACAGGAAACAGTGAAACAGCTACTCTGGTGTCTCTGCCCTCAAGGAGACGGGCCAAGATATCATCCACCACATAATAACTCTTTAATCGTCAGTTTTCAACTTTGCTTTTAGTTTGGATGAAACAAACAAATAAAAATGTGTAACGTGAAGCATCATTTTGTTATCTCCATCTGAAGGACCAGGCTAGCTGTCGCCCTGTCTGTTGACTGTTTGTTCAGACTTGAGGGCAATATCGATTTTCTCATCTGACTCCTGTCAAGAAAGCGACTAAGAGACTATTAATTTAAGCTTATATGAGAAAGTGGAGATCAGCGGCTGATTTTCAAAGATATTTTTTCATCATGAAGCTGTTTGACATTCTGCTCTGTTGAAACTTAGTCTGTCTTTCTGGATCCTGGGGACATTTTCACCCCGAGTTGATCCTCTCAGGGAGACATGCTTTGTACAATCCCACGTCGATCACTCGAACTGGCAGACCTTAACTACAGCCGAGGCTGATACACGGTAAAGAAGTGCTGTACAGACAAACTGAGAGTGGTGACAGCTCCTCTCAGACGGGGGAGTCTGTTTTCTGCGGCTCTCTGTGCGACATCATTATTTAGTTTGGGTGGTAATCCCGGAGGATCAAGACAGTTCATCACCAAATGATGAAATGGACCCAGAAATGTGATATTTATCACCAGCAATAGTGTTCAAGCATGTTTCTCCTGCCAGCCAGAGATTATGAACCATCCACATCCAGCTGGCAGCTCAGAGATGGGTAGACTGGCTAAACTGGAAGATTTCCCAGTCGGGCTTCATGACCTCCCAGGTCCTTCCTTCAGCGTCCACGGAGGGAAACCTGACGTCAGCAGCAGCTGCGGAAACACTTCTTGAAGAACTTCTTGAACTCTGTGTTGAAGATGGTGTAGATGATGGGGTTGAGAGCGCTGTTGACGTAGCCCAGCCAGGTGACAGTGCTCATCAGACTGGGAGGGATGTTGCACGTCAGACAGACGGCTCGCATCGTGTGCACCACGAAGAACGGAGTCCAGCAGAACAGGAAGCAACCTGCGTGAAGATATGAAGATCAGAGTTAGTCGTCAAGTAAAACGATAACTTTAAACCGTCTTTAATACAAAGTGACAGACTGACTTCTGCAGCAGCTTCTGGAGTCGTGCTCGTGTTTATCCTGTGAGTGCCAGCGGGGGGATTAAAATATGCTGACACCATATTTCACAATATGTCACAAACACACGACAATATGCATCAGGGGGTTGATTTATTCTCTCACCAATTATGCCTCTTTCTTTTGGTACCTATCATTCTTGTTTTTGCTGGCAGGAGCAGTAAAATGACATCAGTCAACAATGTGAACTGTCACAGGGCTCAAAGCAATTAAAATCTTGGCACAGTAATTTTCCTGTCAAGGAGAGAAAAGTCTCGGTCTTTAAATCAGGTTCTGTGGCCGATGAAGGTGTCTGGAAACCGTCTCTCCTGCTGAGTTCAGACGTGAATTATTTAGTTGCATGTAGATACGAATGAGATGAGAATCGGCTTGTAAAAGAACTAAAAGAAAAAAAAAAGAAGTTTTTCTCCATTTGTTTCATTGATTATCAGCATTTTGAACCAAAATTTATAGGAAATGGTTTAACATTTATTGCATGTTTTATTAAAAGACATCAGAATAAAAAACCTCTATTTCGGTAGTTTGCTTTAATCAAAACTTTCTATGTACAGAGCTGTGAGCGCTGTGTCATGTATCAGTGGTGAATCTTAATAGTCAAGTTAAATACGGCAGTGTAAAAATACTCTTTTATACATAAGTCCTGCATTAAAAATGCTATTTAACGCGATTCTTCCCTGATTTTCAACCAGCTTTGTATCAAAACAATGTGGGTAGTACGTGTAAATGAACTCTGGTAAGCTTCACTCCATCTAACTGGTGCCTAAAATATCCCTACTTGCCCCCTGGCAAATGTTTTGCTGGCTCTCAGGCTGTTGCTTGAACTACAGGCTGTACCTCCGCATTTTCGTAATGGTCACCACCATGCCACCACTGCAGACATAGTAGTGTAGAAGAGTATAGAAGCAGATCAAGAGACAAACCCAGCTTCTTTCTCTCTCCAACTTGGACTGAAATCTGATCAAACTGAAAAACTAGGCAATGCTGATTGGATATTTATTAAGACGATGTAACTGCACTGCCTATTTCTCTCCTAAGATGTTTTTAGAGACATGTTTTACCGTCGTGTTTAGCTGTGAAAGTGAGAGTATTTGAACAGGAAGTGGGCGCCATACTGTTTCCTGCACAGTTAAAAAAAATAGAGGCTAAAAATCTTGGACCAAACAGTAAAACTGCAGCGGTGGTCAAATATAAACCAAGATTATGTTTCTGAGTCTATTTCTCACCTCAGATGTTTTCAGAAACATGTTTCAGCTCGTCGTTTAACTGTAAGAAATCGAGATTGTTTCTTGCCAGCCGGCCACCATTGTTTCAAATGGACACGTTCGCATTATGTCACCCACTAGCGGGAGCGTTTATTGGTCCGGTGCAGCACAGTGCATTCTGGTACTTGTAGGTTTTCTCTCTCTTGAGCAAAAACATCCATTTTCTCTGTTTTAAAAGTAATTGCATCTTTCTACTAGATTATAGATTACCCTACAGAGGCTAAACATTCATTCAGACACAGTTTCTGGTGAAAAAACAGTGAAATGTGTCTTTATAGCATTTTCACAAATAGAATAAAGGTTTCACAAATCAGAAACTGTGTCTGAATGAATGTTTAGCCTCTAGGATAATCTAGGCCAGATTTGAGAAGTCTAGGTACAGTGGTTTTTGATCTGGACCTGGTCTAATGAGGTCTAGGTATAAAACAGAAACGGTGAAATCTCCCCTTTAGCATTTTCACAAATAAAATAAATGTTTCACAAATACAATAGTGGGTGTCAGGTAAAGTTAATGTCTTACCTAAAATGTCTAAAATGTTTTCACATCAAGAAGTGTCACAAAAAACAGACAATCAGTGGACAAACAGTCGCACTGCACATTAAGTTAATTTCCTCTTAACTTTCCCCTTAAGTGCCGAATCGGAAGCTGGCGAATCGGAAGCTAACTTCAGCATCGTTTTATCGTCGATGTAATTCACACAACAATAATAGCAGTTCTGCTCTACTTTGTGCAAAGCAACCACTCCACCAACCCAAACACGGTCGCAGAATAAGTACCCCCCTCATGGTAACAGCACTCAAGCACTCCCTGATGTCAGTGCCCTGATGAGCTCTGAACAATCTGGAGTCGTTGCAAGTATCTATATATCTGTATCTTTAAAAGTCAGAACAGATCTTATCAATGTTTCTGAGGTGATTAAGACACAATTGGACAAGCTTAGTGACATGCTGCTCAAAACATAAATTACTATTGATCCGAATCTGATCAAGCATCTGGGACATGTGGTGCTCCACCTCACAACCCACAGGACTCACAGGATCCAACGTGTAATGCCTTAATCTGTATTAACCCAAGAACAAATGAAATCAAACCTGGACAGAGGGTGGAAGTTTGCAAACATGAACTTGCAGTATTGGCAATGAAAACATTCTGATTCTGACGATACTGCAGAAGTGTGAGGCAAAATCTAAATGTTCAAACTTAAAAAGTGAAGCTGCAACACACACTGAAATATGCTTTCATTACAGTTTAAAGATACAAACACGAATGTTTCCAAAGCTAATATTACAGGTACAAAACTCTTTTTTCAAGCACATCTTTTTAAATGATGTAATTTATTAGATATTATAGAATATAAGTGTCAAGCTGAGCGGGAGAATATAACCTTAATGGACGGGGTCACGCTGTAACTGCAGGCAGAAAATCAAACTTTATATTTTAGCCGGTCTCATCTCAAACATAAGTCCCTCTCTCCTCCTAAATGATCTCTCATTAATTTCTACTTTCCCATGTTTTGTCCCGCCTGATGATTCAACTTCAACAGGAGAGACGGTGCGTTTCATTGTGACTTGACAGCGTGACTCTAAATGATTCACGACCAGACGGAGTTCATTAGAGACGAGGTAGAAACGTAACGACCCTGCTGTCTCATAATTTTTACTGCAGACATTTCTGCTCCAGGGTGTTCGATAAATTTTGGATTTCTTGACTTTTTTTTGTCTGCTGCCTCTCAGGAAACTGTGATTTCAGAAAGGATAAAGACACAGGAAACTTTAATGTATTAACTGACCACAGGGACAGACAGTCGAAGGTAAATTTGCTCTTGCTGTCCGATTCAGAGACCCGAGTGTGAAAACATGATTTATATCCTGTCTTCAAACTAAAAGCAGAGGTCTATCCCCGGCTCAACAAACACCAGCGAGCTCTCTGTTTGAGCAGGTGAGCTGGGAAACGATAACACACCTTTAATAAGCTTAGTTTCCTTGATGAGCAGGGACTATGAATAACCGTGTCACTGAATCAAAGTGAGGCCATTCGTCTCAGGTGTCATCTCATGTCAGCGATAAAACGGATTTATTCGCTTTGTGTTGAGAGGTTGATGGATGAGATTTATGTCGCTCTTTCCAGGAGATTGGATGACTTTGCATAATAACCCACAGCTGTACTGTCAGTAGGACATCGTGCATGCTTCTTATTCATAAGATGCATTCAGGACAGCTCTGATGATGTTAAGTGGAGGGATCTGTGTCTGTCCCAGTATTCAGGAGTATTTGAGGCACAAAAACATGACAGAAACTCTAATTAACAGCACACTCCAGTTTCACCTGACAGTTACCACTTCCTACCTGAGCCTGGCTGATGTTACTGCCATGTTGGACTGAAATACTTTTGAATATCCTTGAAACACAGAATCAGTGTCATGTACTGTCCAAAATATTTGTCCTTTCTCGGGGTCCTTTTTGTCTGTTTTCATAGTTTGTTGTAAATATTGCAATCGTTCCACACATAAACATGTGAGTATTTAATTTAAAGATATAACCCTAATTCCAAAAAAGTTGTGACACTATGTAAAATGTAAATAAAAACAGAATGACCTATATTCACTTCACATGAATACAATACAGAGACAAGATGTTTAATGATCAAACTGATAAACTGTTTATGTGAGGCAGGTGAAATTATATTCCAATATTCCAATAATGCCTAAATCTGTATTAACCCAAGAACAAATGAAATCAAAGATGGACAGAGAGTGGAAGTTTGCAAACATGAACTTGCAGTATTAACATGCACCAAATCACCAAGACCTTGTACGTGCAACTGTTTGCAATTAAAATGTTTCTGATTCTGACAATCTTGCAAAAGTTTAGAGGCAAAATCTATATCTGACATCAGTGTCTCAACAGTCCGGGGTCAACGCTTCATAATGTTCCACACATGTTCAGTAGGAGACAGGTGTGGACTGCAGGCAGGTCAGTCTGGTACCTGCACGCTGTCACTACGAAGCCACGCTGTTGGAACACGTCACAATGTGTCTCATCGTCTCCCTGGAATAAGCAAGGACGTCCCTGAGAAAGACGTCGTCTGGATGGCAGCATATGTTGCTCCAAAACCTGTGCGTACCTTTCAGCATTCATGGAGCCTTCACAGATGTGAAGTTACCCATGATGCACCTCTCCATCCCATCTCACATACTTTGAACCTTGAGCTGGCAACAGTCTGGATGGTCCTGGAGGACATGACGTCCATGATGGACTGGTCAGACCACTTTGTGTCGGTCCATCTCAGATGAGCTCGGGCTCAGAGAAGTGGGTGGAGCCTGGTACAGTCTGAACTGTCATTGGTAGATGCAGTGATGTGTTTACAGACAGTGGTTTTCCAAAGTGTTCCTGAGCTCATGTAGTAGTATCCTTTATACAGTCATGTTGGTTTTTACTGCAGAGCAGTCTGAGGGGTCAAAGGTCAATCAGTGTTGGTTTTCAGCTTTGCCCCTTAAGTGCAGAGATCTCTCCAGATTCTCTGAATGTTTTGATGATATTACGGATTTTAGAAGGTGAAATCACTAAATGAGAAACTTTGTTTTTTAACTGTTGGACTGTTTGTCCTCACAGTTTTTCAC